TTGGGCGCCCCCCCCGCGCTGCTACCCTACCGCCACCCCAAAGGGGGCCTAAGTGGTACTTTTCTATCACACAATAGGCCCGAAGTAATCCTCCACTTCAATCAACCAACTTGACTTCTACTAATAACATCCCCATCTATATCAACATCACTTTGAACAATAGACCCAAAATATCTAAAGCGTTCCATACCTTTTAATAATTTGATCACCCATAGTTACAATTCAATCACTAAAGCTACTACTACTAAAATTACATTTAATGTATTCAATTTTAGTTCTACTCAAACGAAGGCCTTTAAAATCCAATATAGACCTCCATAATTCAAGTATTTCCTAAGCTTTCTTTCTCGTCTTGACCACGAGAAGGATACCATTACCAGAAAGCATACATCAAGGTACATCCTTCTGTACATGTTCCGTAATAGCATCCATAACTAAAGTAAAAAGATATGGGCTTAAAGTCGATCCCTGTTGTAATCCAATAGAAAAAGGAACATATTTGGTCAATCCTTCTTTTGTTCGAACATAAATAACAGCTCTAGTATACACATCTTTAAGCTGTTAAATATAAGTCATATCAACACCTTTCTTCTCAAGAACTCTTCAAAGGATATCTCTTGGAACCTTTTCGTAAGCTTTTTCTAAATCAATAAAAATCAAATATAAATCCTCCTTATTATCTCTGAACTTCTCCATCAAAACTTGCCCGACATAAATCAAAATTGATTATGAGAAATCTTTGTAATACATCTTAACCTATGTTCAATTACTCTCTCCCATAATTTTAAAGTATGACACGTAACTTAATTCCTCTATAATTTGCACATTCTTGTGCATCCCCTTTATTTTTTAAAAATGGGACCAAAATACTCTTCTTCCACTCCGAGACATCTTTTTAGTTTTTAAAATAATATTAAAGATTTTCGTAAATCAAGAAACTCTCAAATCTCCTATATATTACCACACTTCAATTGAGATATCATAAGGTTCTACAGACTTTTCACTCTTGATTTTCTTTAAAGCCTCCTGAACTTCTGTTTTACACTTCTAATTATATGAGATGAGAAAAAAATATCGTCTACATGGATGGATTTCATGCACGTAAAACCTATTGCTCCAATCATAGCAGGCCAATACAATAAAACAAATGAGCATGACTTTGTTCACATCTATAAGTCATAATTGTATACATGCAAGGCAATAGAAAAAGGTCAAGTTCAATTACATCAAGCCATGCAGACAATAGCAGTATTTAAAGTTAAATCTTTCGTTGAGAGTTGAGGGATAAAAGCCACGTTGATTTCTCCTCAACACTGGCTTCCCTCATCTGTAGTTGAACGAGTATTGCAGAACACACAGTTATCAGTATTAAAATGGCAACAGAGCTAACAAATGCGATGATGTTTATCAAATTCCCCTTTTATAGTTCGCTCATGAAGCAAGCATGGCTGCATTTGAAAAGATAATGTAAGAAGGACAAATAACAAATTATGTAAATCTTCTTACATTGTTCATTTTCCATGACGGAAAAGTATATGATGCTCCAAGTACCGTGAAAAAATAGTGAGTCCAGAAGTAGTTCCCAACATAGCTAAAAATAATAATCCAAAGATTTGCCTGTAAGAAGAAAAGAGTTCAAGAACAAATAAAGGTGAGTGTTGCTGGTATCAATGAAGTTTCCAAATAGCTCGAGAAAATAAAACAAAGATAGAATCATGCGTTGCATAATTCTATGAAGAAATCTATTGTAAAGTTGCATTATTTACAAAGAAAACAATCCCACAAAGAATACATGGTTTTTAGCTATCAAGCTGAAATTTTCTCTATAAACACAAAAATTTTGTATCACGTTATAAATTGATACCGGAGTTAACCTAAAAACTCAATAGGAAAAGTAAATTTTTATTACACGAAAGAACATGACTGATCAAAACCTTGAAACCGAATACAAACATGAAAGAACACAAACAACCTGCTAGGCGTGAGGCAAGACAGTCAGTGGAACAGCAGCAAGGTGGCTTAGGAAAGGTGGCTGCAGGTTAGAGTGGTACAGGAAGGGCAGACACAACAAGAAAAAGGTGCAGGGAGAGAGTGATTGTGAGCCCGAGAGGTGTAGGAATGGAGGCAGCAGCAAGGGAGAGTGCAGGAGAGAAATCGGCCGCCTTGGAGCAGTGTAGGGGGAGCGGCGACAACTTTGAATAGTGTAGGAATGAAGGCAGCAACAAGGGAGAGTGCAGGAGAGGAGGCAGCCGCCTTGAAGCAGTGTAAGGGGAGCAGCGCAACATTGAATAGTGCAGGAGGGATGACGATAAGCAGGCTAGAGGGGGAAAGGGAAGCGAAATCGATGAGATAAACACCACCTTGGAATAAGATACAACTGGAGCGCCACTTATCCTCGAATATAACGCTAACAAAGAAGAAAATATTGGCGGCACGAAAGGTGAAAGCAAAAATGCCCTAAAACACAAAAAATAATATATAAATACTACTATGGTAGCTAGCGTGGGGCCCCCTCAATTAGGCGACCCTGTGGAGGAGCGATTGTGCAGTCCTCTCCTCCCTTAGGATGAATCGGTTAACATGAAACATCACCCAGTTCGGCAGTTGGGTTTATCGCGTCCCATGTCCTGTGTGGGGGATGCACTGAAGTCAGTCCCACATCTCTCGTGGGATCACACGTCTTGTGAGAGAGATACACCCGCGATAGTCTCCCGGGATTGGGAGAGCTTCGACCTCATTCATCAAAGCTTTTATCTGCACGTTGAAAGTAGCGAGGTTGTTGTAATCTCCACGGGTAAAGGGTCTTCAACTACGGTCCGAGAAACGCCTAGATCCCATTGGCGACTGTACTGTCCCCCAAAGCAACTGAGGGTTTTTCCCCACTTGCGAACAAACATCCATATCGATCCAATCATCTATAGGGTACCTTACTAAGCTAAATCAAGATTCTGTGCCAAGTGCATTATGTTGAATTCTCCAAATACAACCAAAGTTGGTTCAACCCGAATTGAGATGAGGATAATATGAATCTCTCTAAGTGGCGGCGGCTAGGGTGGGAAGTTGGTGAACATAATGTCCTGAAACTCTCCATGTATTGATTGTCCTATGTTTGATATCGGACCTTCTCTCTCGTGGTCCTCTATCATCACCAAGATTGATCCTCTCGATACCTCTCTATTGGCAAGGGTATCTCTAATCTCAAACTCTGCATAATGTAGAAGGGTTATGTGTGTGCTATCTTTGGTGAATGAGCAGGTGCTCTTATACCCATCATATTGAGTTTTGCGATCATACTACCATGATCTCCCCAGCAAAAGATGACAGACATCCATGGGCACCACATCACACTAAACTTGATCCTGCAGTTGGCTTCCAATCCAAAACTTCACGAGACAACTCTTGTTAATATTGATCATGTTCTCCATTTTAAACCATGTCAGGGAGTATGTGGTTGAGAATGTCTCTGAGTCGTGACGCTCAACTTATCCATCATCAGTACTAACCTACAATCTTGTTGCTACCTGATGATGATGATGATGCATATATTTCCATTCATGGTGCAAAGAGTGTAGAATAGATTGTGTTAATGCCATTGTTGCTCCTTCAACGCCTTAGTCTGAATGACTCGCTGAACCACAAGTATCTCGCCCTCTTCTGGTGGCAGTTGATGCTTACTCTTTTCTTCAGTTGCTTCCTTGTTGCTAACTCTCTCAACAACATCCTGCTCAATAAAAAAACCAACTAGCCTCATCGAGCAACTGGAGATAATATGCCCAAATCCATGGAAAGGTGCCTATTTAGGACTATCGTCAAAGCATAATCTAACACACTCCTGACCGATATTAGCTGATTAACACAACGGTTAATGATTTACATTATATTATTATTTAAAGTGGAAAGGTGTCTACTCGCCTCTGGTCAATATTCTACCGTTGGCACAATAATTAAAAATCTAATTATCACAATTATCTAATGTGATAGAAAAATATTTATGTGTGAGATACATTGACGTCCACTGCTTATACCATAAGAGATGAACTCCTCTTAACACATATATACAAGCATTCATATATACACTATTTCAATCTTCATAAAATACATTCTTTCTTATGAGAGAATTGTCTTCATCTACTAATGAATAAATATATTTTTATTGGAATCAAAATGACATGTAATAATATAATAATTTTATAAGTGAATCAATATGCAATTGTTTTATGCACGTCTCTTAACATGCATATTTCTAAAGGTCATGTAATAATGTGATAATTTTCTAGAAAAACTAATATGCAACAATTTATGCAGCAGTGTTAACATGTATACTTTCTCTGACGTGCAACTATTTATCATACATATTTTTCTTGTATAATAACACGAATAATTCATTGCAAATTAAATTTAACTAAACTAGAGCATAAATGGAATCAAACATACATTAAAAAATAATAAAAATTACTGAAATTTAAAAATATAATCACTCACCTTGATTTTTACTTGATTATCCTGCTAACTCCTTATCTTTATATCTTTTAGGACCAATGCACTTTGGTCTTAATAGATGTCATAATTTAATAATGTTTAACTAACCAAACAAAACAACTTGTATAATTACAACATCGAATCATTACCTTCCATGCCGTCAACTTTCCTAGATCCAATCCAAATTTTTTGTGCTCTCATATTTTTCAAATTCTGATTTTAAATTCCTAAACAATAATTAATACTAGTCAATTAAACATGTAGAATAAAAATAACATAATAAAACCCTAACCTTCGTAAAAGCATTCGGTTTTGGCCCTTACCCACACGAAGTTCCTCCCACACAAAGTCTTCTTCTTGCACAATAAAACTCACGCAGCTCTTTTACTTGATCCCAAACCCGAGGGCTCTATTCTTTCTTCTTCCCTAGCACGGTTCTCTTACTTCTTCACGCGAAGTTAAACGGTGTTACTCCTACACGAGACACTCAGCTTGCTTCTTCCTTCACGTGAGACGTCTCCCTCTAGGCCTAGGCACACGCAGAAAACTTTTACCTCTCCACCTTCGCACAGGAAGCGTGAGCGGCAGCTCGATTCTCCCTCTTTCGCGCGCAGAGTTTCCTCTTCTTTCCGCATGACTCCTGAGCTGCATGTTTCTTCCTCCCGCAAGCAGCGCTTCACTGCCCATCCCGCACGCCGTGTAGTTGACACGTCTTCTCCGATGCTCCTCTTTCTCCTACACACACGACACTCTCGACGCCATCTGCCCGCAAGGAACGTCGAGCCTCCCGCAAGCAGCGCTTCACTGCCAATCTCGCATACAGCGCTTCACTGCCCATCCCGCACGCCGTGTAGTTGACACGTCTTCTCCGATGCTCCTCTTTCTCCTACACACACGACACTCTCGACGCCATCTGCCCGCAAGGAACGTCGAGCCTCCCGCAAGCAGCGCTTCACTGCCAATCTCGCATACAGCGCTTCACTGCCCATCCCGCACGCCGTGTAGTTGACACGTCTTCTCCGATGCTCCTCTTTCTCCTACACACACGACACCCTCGACGGCATGTTCCCGCAAGGAACGTCGAGCCTCTGGCATGAGTAACACACGATCCCGCCACCGAATCTAATATTTTCTCCATACCTTTAGACTAATTGGTATTTTTTGTTTAATTAAAAATGCAATACACACATATTACATAAAGAAATAAAATTTCAAGCTCCACATATACAATTCGCTTGATAGCTCATGCACGTCCTGTAGTAACCAATTAAAAAATTATTAAATTAAAATTAAATTTTCTATGCCATTTGAAGAAGACGCGACACTTTCGGGGAATCAAAACGAAGAATTTAACCTCTTATTTTCTCTCATTCGAACAGACGGGAAAAATCAGGATTGAGAGCAAGAAAATATCATATCCGGACTCCGGAAGCAAATTTGCGTCCGGAGTTCAGTGGAAAATTGCCACGTGGCAAGTGGGCCTCACTGCAAATAAAAATGCTATCCACCCTCTGAACTCCGAACGCAAATATAATATTTTTTCAAAAATATCAGCCACAAAAAATTGCATTAAGCATTGTCATAAATACTGCAATCTAATCTGTAAAATATGTTTGCAAAGAATTCCCAGATGTGCACTGCTCATACAAAATTCCAACAATGAAAAACAGGGGCTGAAGCATTTTTAAGAACGCTGAGATAAAGATGCATCCAATAATCATATTACTAGAAAAGAGAAGCAAGCCATTTGAAATTAGGACCTATGAGATTAATACATTTTCATCCTTCTAATAGCTTATCCTTGTTAAGACAACTAGGATTAATCATTTAAAGAAACTTCAGCAAGTTAAGTGACATTACCTTTACCCAGTATCGATTACTCAAGCATCTGCTGCTATCCACCTTCATAAAAAATGCAACAAAGAAAGTAGGAATGAGAACATTTAAACCCTAAAGGTAGCAGATTAACGGCCACTGCAAGTTATAAATGATTTATGAGTTACAAACTAAAAGTACAATACATATTCGAATCAAAAAGATAAAAGAAAAAGAAAATTACAAAAATAATTTCCATAGTAATCTTCAGATATAAGTCATCATAAGTTTGCTTCTAACAAATTCTTACTCAGCCTTTGATCATTTTTTCCATCATTTCTCAGAATCAGTTCTCTGAGACAAGTTTCAGATACTTTCCAAAACCAAATTGTTATTTCCTTGTGGTTTCAAAACAGGATAAATGACAAGAGTTCTATATAATGAAAGCTAGAAAATGAGAGCTCTTAATCAACACATCTTATACAGCAATGCACTTCACCATCGAATTTCTCTAGAATAAATCACCGGTTATAGCAGCACTAACATACGATTTTTTTCTGGATTTTTTTTCTGGGCCATGGCTATATACCTTTATTAGCGCATTCAACATACAAATATTACGAGCCACCTTCTGTTAAAAAATATTATGGAAAGTGATAGATTTGATGATTGTATATGAGGAAACTTGTATATTAGGAAGCTTGAATATAGAAAGTTTAATAAATAGGTAACACAACTAGAGGAGATCTAATTGCAAGATCTTTCCTCTATTAGAGATATTCCTAATCTTTAGAGATTAGACAATTGTCGATTAAGTCATCCATCACTACCAAAGCTAAAATAGTTATATCATCAATTTCAGAAATTATCATTTTTAGATTGAGTCGTGTAAATTTGTTAGACATCGCAGAATTAATAAAAGGGTTAGTCATAGTTCTGATGTATAGATCTTGTCTAATTTTATCTAAATAGATTTTGATAGTTTATCACTTTTGTGCATATTTTTCTTGTATAACTTGGCTTCATTTTATGAAATCTTGTTCTAAGTTATTGTCATAACTTCCATCTTTTTTCGTTGAAATTAAAGTTAAATTCAATATTTATATTAAGATTCTGAGGGGTGATAATGACAAAGAATATTTATCTATACCTTTTTAGATATATATGACACAAAATGGGATGCTTCACCAATTCTCCTGAGTTGATACTCGATCCCAAAATAAAATATCTGAAAAGAAAAGTAAACATCTTCTTAAGACAATTAGAGTTCTTTTATTTCAAACTAATATGTCTAATAATTCTGGGTTGATGCAGTTTCTCCTGCATGATTTTTTATCAATCGGATGTCTTCTACTGTTTTATAGTACAATATACCCTACCAAGTTTTTTCTCCAACCAAATCTCTCTTTCCCATTGACCCATATATATTTGGGTGTTTTTATTTTATTCGTGGAACTTGTCAACAGGTTTCTAAACTAGATCCTAAATCATTAAGGTGCCTTTTTGGGATATTTTCGTTTGCAAAAAATGTATCAATATTTTACTGAACAAGATACCGTTCTAAGTTCTATTTCCAACCAAATCTATCATTCCCATTGAACCGTGTATATTTGGGTGTATTTGTTTTGTTCGTGATACTCATCAACGGTTTCTAAACTAGATCAATAGTTATTAAGATGTGTCTTTCAAAGATATTCTCATTTGCAAAAAAAGTACCAATACTTTTCCTCCCTCCTAAATAGGTACATAGTTCTTATTGATGTCACATTTCATAAAAAATACACCTCATTCTTTGTAGACTCATCGGTGTATAAATCCTCTCAAGATTTTGATGAGTTATTAATGATTTACATCATCAGTTCAAAACTCGATCCAGCTCTACCTCCACCACCAGTGGCTCAACCTAGGCCATTTATCACAAATGGTTACTCTAGAAGACCGCATTCCCCTGATACTAATCTGACACCAATATCATCTTGAATAATGAATTACCTCGACCCATAATCTGTTCTAGCACCTTATCTCTGTCTGAAGTCCATTGTCGACTAAGACACCCACCACGACCCATGCCAAAACAGTTATACCATCAATTTTAACAATTATCATCTTTAAATTGTAAGTCGTGTCAATTTGCTAAATATCATTATTTTTCTTCTGTTCTCAGAATAAATAAAAGAGTTAATCATAGTTTTGTGTTGGTTCATTCTGATGTATGAGAATCTTACTTATTTTATCTAATAGATTTCAATAATTTATCATTTTTGTGAGTATTTTTTCTTGTATGACTTGGTTTTACTTTATAAAATCTCGTACTAGATTACTGTCATATTTTCAATCTTTTTCTGCTGAAATTAAATTCCAATTGAATATTTCTATTAAGATTCTAAGAGGTGACAATGACAAAATATTTATCTACACATTTTTATACATATATGACACAAAATGGGATGCTTCACCAATCTTCCTGAGTCGATACTCCATCCCAAAATAGAATAGTCGAAATAAAAATAAACATGTTCTTAAGACAGCTAGCGCTCTTTTTTTCAGACTAATGTGTCCAAATAATTTTGGGATGATGCCGTTTCTACTGCATATTTTTTTATCAATCGGATGTCTTCAACATACCTAATAAGCTATATTTCTAACCAAATCTCCCTTTCCCGTTGAACCATGTGAATTTGGGTGTACTTGTTTTGTTAGAGATACTCATTGACAGGTTAAGGTGTGTCTTTCTAGGATACTCTTGTTTGCAAAAGGGTATCAATATTTTATTGAACAAGATACCCTACCAAGTTTTATTTCCAACAAAATCTCTCTTTCTCATGAACCATGTCTATTTGAATGTACTTGTTTTGTTTGTGATACTTATCAACATGTTTATAAATTATATACTAAGTCATTAAGGTGGGTACTTCTAGGTAACTCTCATTTACAAAAAGGACATCAATATTTTTCCCCTTCTAAATAGATACATAGTTTTTGTTGATGCCACATTTCATAAAAAAACTAATTATTTGGTAACTCATCGGTGGCTAAATCCTCCCAAGATTTTGATGAATTATTAATGTATCACTTCATCAATTCAGATCCCGCTCCAACTCCACCTCCACAACTAGTGCGTCAACCCAGACCACTTATCACTAATGTTTACCCTAAAAGACCTCATTCCCCTGATCCTAGTCTGGCATCGATATCATCTTCGTCAGCAAATCACTTGATGACCTTGATATACATATTGTTTTTCGAAGAGGTAAACATCAATGCTTCTATCTAATTTCCTCATTTGTTAATTATAATCAGTCAGCTTCTACTTCTTCCTCTCTTATTGCTTCCCTCGACTTTGTTGAGGTCACGAAATACGATCAACAAGCCGCATCTTAGTATGGGTGGCAGGTTGCGATGCTTGATAAGATGAATGTCTTAATTGAAAATGACACTTGGGAACTAGTTCAACCATCTTCTGACAAGAAGGTTGCTGGTTGTAGAAGGGTATTTGTAGTTAATTTTCATTCTGATGGATCTATAGCTCGTCTTAAAGCTGGTTGGTTGCTAAGAGGTAAGCTTAAATTTATGGGATTGACTACTGGGACACGTTCTCTCTAGTAGCTAAGCTGACTTTGATTTGTAAGTTTATGTCCTTGGCCGTTATGAATAACTGGTCCCACCAGCTTGATGTAAAGAATGAATTTATGTATGATGATCATTTAGAAGAGGTATACGTGGATCAAACTCCTGGATTTGTTGCTCAGGAGGTGTCTAGGAAAGTACGTCTTCTTTGGAAGTCATTATATGGATTGAAGCAAAGACTTTGGGCACGGTTTGGAAAATTTAGCCAAGCTATAGAAGAGTCTATGACGCAAAAAAGTAAAAGTTCTCACACTGTGTTTTGCAAGCAATCTGCTTATGGGATCATTTTATTGATGGTGTATTTTGATGACATGTTTATTACTGAAAGCGATATGCAGGGACTGTCATCATTAAAATAATTTCTTCAAAATCAATTCAACACTAAAGGTCTGGGTTCCTTAAAATATTTCTTGAGGATTAGGGCTTCAAAAAGCAAGAAGGGTATCTTTCTATTTCAATGCAAGTATGTTTTGGATTTATTAACAGAAACTAAAAAATTAGGGGTCAAATCATGCAATATTTCGATGCTTCATAATCAACAACTTGCCAAAGATAGAGAGCATTTTATTGACCACAACGATATAAGAATTTAGTGCAAAAATTAAATTACCTCACAGTGACTCGTCCTGACATTACTTATTCAGTCAGTTCATGTATGCTCTCACAGTCCATCATTTGTCAGTTTTAAAACAAATATTATGTTACCTCAAAGGAGCTCCTCAACAAGATATTTGATATCAAAATAATGGGCATAAAAATATTGAATGTTTCTCTAATGCAGATTGGGCAAGTTTTAAGATTGATTAAGGATTCATTACTGGATAGTATGTTTTTGTTGGTGGTAATTTGATCTCATTGAAGAGTAGAAAATAGAATGTAGTGTCATGATCCACTGCAGATATTGAGTATCAAGACATGATACAAGTTTCACATGAATTGATGTGGATCTCTGAATTGTTGGCCGAAATAGGTTTTAAGATGATAGTTCCAGCAAAAAACTGTTGCATTAAAATCAAGCTGCAATTCATATTGCTTCAAAAATTTTCTTCCATGAACGAACTAAGCACTTTAAGATAGACTGTCATTTTGTCCGTGAAATGATTCAGCAAAATTTTATGTCTACAACCCATGTAAAAACTGAGGAACAACTTCACAAAGACCCTTAATGGAGTTAGAACCACTTATATTTGAAACGAGTTGTGCATAATAAATATCTATGCTCAAACTTGAGGAAGAGTTTTATGAAAATTAATAGATCTCATGGTTGTAAATTAGGAAGCTTGTATATTAGAAAAGTTGATTATAGAAAATATAATAAATAGACAATCTAATTAGAGGAGATCAAATATTCTCTTTATGAGAGATATTCCTAATCTATGGAAATTGAAGTGTATATAAATATTTAAGATATGTTTTCAATTGATGAATAAAAGTAAAAGATAATTTTCCTTCACAAAAAA